AAGGACTCTGCTCACTGCCCCTGCTGAGGTGGGTTACCATGAGATTGCTGTTTGGAGAAATGATCTGGCTTTGATAAATTTCTTCTGCAAGTCCTCTGAAAACACAAGGTTTGAGATTTTTAGTGGTCTGTTCAGCACTGCAAACCCTTTTTTAGCTAAATCTTGTTTTCAGAAGTGTCTGAGGCCCTCAGGAGCTTAAGGAATCAGAGCAGCCTTTTAAAAGCTGGTTGAGACATGATTTGGCTTCATTTGAACAGTCAGAAAAGAAAAAGAACCTATAAAGACGCCCTGGCATGGCAAAGAAAGCTTATAAACTGCCTGTCATTGCACTTTACAACCACCAAAGTCTTCTCCTAACACCTAACTTCAAAGGGAGAAAAAAAAATCCAAGATTTGAATAAATGTGAAAAAAGAAGGGACAACAGAATATGAATCACAGAATCAACTAGGGTGGAAAAGACTTCTGAGATCATCAAATCCAACCTATGACTGCACACCACCTTGTCAGCTGGACCAGAGCATTAAGTGCCACATCCAGTCTTTCCTTGCATCACCATCACCTCCAGCGATGGTGACTCTAACACCTCCCTGGGCAGCCCATTCCAATGCCCAATCACTCTTTCTGTGTAGAACTTCTTCCTAATGTCCAATCTGAACCTCCTTTGAAACAGATTAACACTATGTCCTCTTGTCCTCCTGCCGGTTGCCTGGGAGTAGAGACCGACCCCCACCTGGCTACAACCTCCTTTCAGGGAGTTGTAGAGAGTGATGAGGTCCCTCCTGAGCCTCCTTTTCTCCAGGCTAAACAACCCCAGCTCCCTCAGCCTCTCCTCATAGGACTTGTGCTCGAGTCCCTTCACCAGCCTTGTTGCTCTTCTCTGGACCTGCTCCAGCACCTCAACATCCTTCCTAAATTGAGGGTCCCAGAGCTGGACACAGCACTCCAGGTGTGGCCTCACCAGCGCTGAGTACAGGGCAAGAATCACTTCCCTGGTCCTGCTGGCCACACTATTCCTGATCCAGGCCAGGATGCCATTGGCCTTCTTGGCCACCTGGGCACACTCTGGCTCATGTTCAGCCTCCTGTCAACCAGAACCCCCACATCCCTTTCTGCCTGGCTGCTCTCCAGCCACTCTGTCCCCAGCCTGTAGCGCTACAGAGGGTTGTCGTGGCCAAACTGCAGGACCCAGTCCTTGGCCTTGTTGAACCTCCTACTGTTGGATTTAGCCCATCTATCCAGCTCTGCAGAGCCCTCCTATCCTCCAGCAAATTGACATTCCCCCCCCCCCCAGTTTGGTGTCATCCACAAATTTGCTAATGGTGAACTCAACCCCCTCATCCAGATCATCAATAAAGATGTTAAACAGGACCGGTCCAACACTGATCCCTGGGGACACCACTAGTGACCAGATCCCAACTGGATGCAGCCCCGTTCACCACCACTCTCTGGGCCCGGCCCTCCAGCCAGTTCCTAACCCAGCACAGAGTGCCCCTGTCCAAGCTGTGGGCTGCAGCTTTTTCAGGAGTATGCTGTGGGAGACGGTGTCAAAGGCTTTGCTGAAGTCCAAGTGGACACATCCACAGCCTTCCCTCATCCACCAGGCGGGTCACCTGGTCACTCTAGAGGAGATCAGGTTGGTCAGGTAGGACCCACTCCTCCTAAATCCATGCTGGCTGGGACTGATCCCCCGTCCATCCTGTATGTGCCATGTGACTGCACATAGTCCTGAAGGACTAGAGCATTAGATGATGGCAAATCCTTTCCGAGCCAACATCAGATGTAATAGATGTGAATGAATTGAATGATGTATTGGTAGTCAAGCAAATAGAAAGACAAAAATATTTTGGTTTATTTTGATAGGAAAATGGCTTATGTGATCACAATGTAAGTGTATCGATGCCTCTTTCTTCTCCCACTTGTCCTTTTTAATCAAATTCAATAAAAGAAACCTGCCAAACAGTTTGTGTGTCTACAACTCTGTAAAAATAATAGCCAAATAGAGATGCTTTTTTGACCTGCAACACAAACTCAACTCTTTCAACAAGCAGAGAGCACAAAAGGGAAAATTACTCTTCTTTATAAAGCTCTCACTGTAGGAAAAGCTTGGGAGAAAGCAAGTCCTTGAAGCACTGGCTCAGGCATAAGACGTACTTAGAGAACTGGAAAAATCACGATCTTCAGCTGCAAGTTCTCCCCACTGTATGGACAATAACTTGCTTTTAAAGCAGGCAAAGAGCAGTTTCAAGGTAAATGAACAGGTTTTGTTGACCTTAACAAATCACATGTTGTGAGCTGCAGCAGGCAGCCAGCTGCTTCAGTCCAGCCACCAAGGCAGGTTGTATTGACAAACTCGTTTGCTGACAAAGGAGAGGTTCCTTGAGGCACTGTCAGGGAATCAAACCAGAAGGGAAAGCGACTCTGAGGACAAGGCAATGGAGAGTCAAGCTCAAGTTGACAGTAAAACTGAGAGAAAAAAAAAAATTAATTTAAAAAAATTAGCAAGAGGGGGACATTCCAGAATCACAGACTCATAGAATCATTTAAGCTGGAAAAGACTTCCAAGTTCATCAAGTCCAACCTTTGACTGAACATCACCATGTCACCTAAGCCATAGCACCCAGTGCCACATTCCATTGGTTCTTGAACACTTCCAGGGGAGGTGACTCCATCACATCCCTGGGCAATCCATTCCAATGCTTCATCATCCTTTCAGTGAAGAAATTCTTCCTGATATCCCACCTGAACCTCCTCTGTGTGGTGGAGGGAAACAGTTTTCCCCCCTGAAGCTATAAAATGGTAAAACCCCAGGGGGTGGTGACCCTTGAGGTTTTTGCGCTTTTGCAAAATATAAACATATCACAAGCAGAACAGAAGAGAAGGTAGTTGTAGTTGTTGTTGAAGAAGGAGCCATGTTCTGAGGCCACGAGGAGAAGGGGCAGGAGCGCCTTAGGGGCTCTGGCCCCCCAGCCCCCAGCGGGGGGGGCTGCAGGGACTTGGAACAGCGTAAGGCTGGGCTAAGTACCTGTGGCTGAGAGCTAAAGAAGTTTTCTCCACTGTAAGAAGCAGCAGGAGCAGCGTCTGGAGAAACGGTGGCAGAGAGCCAGAAGGAGATAAGAACTGAAGAAGCAGCAGAAACAAACATGCAGCCGAGTAGGAAGACACAGAGTTGTCCAAGAGAAAGAGAGCCAGCAGCAGAGAGACAACTAAGTTCTACAGACAGAGACAGAGTTTTGGGGTAAGAACTGCACCAAAACACCCCAAACCCCTCTGAGAGAGAAAGGAGGATGATGGACTCTTACTTGAAAGAGTCATGGAGTGCTACAGCACTGCAGAAAGGAGCTGAAAAGCTCAGAGAAAGAATGCAGAGGGGGGGACCTTGGCCCCCCTCGCCGCTGCTGCCAAGCTAAGCTAGCAGCCTGAGATCAGAGCACAGGAGCTCTGGTAGAACTCTTGAGGCAAAGGCCTTCAACCGAAAGCTGCCCGAGATGTTCTGACTCAGGGGTGAAGCCTCTGAGGAAGGGACCTTCATGGGGGTCTTACACCCCATGATATGACGTGGTGATGCGAGTTTTGTCCCTGCTACGCAGCCCACGGAAGACCCTCACTTTAGACGATGGGCTGAGGGGATTGGATACCCCCTCGTGTGTACTGACAGAGATCCAGCTACAGCTGCTGCATGAGAAGAAGAGATGCCTGCTGTTTTAGAGACACTACTGCTCTGAGACTGGAAAGGATCTTTCCATCTTCCCTCCTGGACTTTTTATTTGGAGGGGAGAAGAGATTTGATCCATTGTAAATACTTTTATGTCATGGTAAAGATAGCTAAGATTGTATATAATGTATTGTAGTATTTATTTGTACAGTCATTGTAATATATTCCCTTTCCCCCATTCTGAGTCTTGTGTGGTGTCTGGAAACCATCTCACACTGGGTTGAGATGTGGGAGGGGGTTTGGACTAGGGAATTGGATTTTGAGGCTCTCAAACCATGACACCCTGGCACAGCTTAAGGCCATTTCCTCTCATCACTGGTTCCCTGGGAGAAGAGACTGACCCCCACAAGGCTGCAAACTCATTTCAGGTGGTTGTAGAGAATGATAAGGTCTCTCCTGAGCCTTCTCTTCTCCAGGATAAACACCTCCAGCTCCCTCAGCTGAAGCAGCAAATTGTTTGGAAGCACAGAAATGTGGGGGCAGGGGAGAGAGCCAAAGGCTACTATTTATCAGCATTTATTTTCCTATTCTTTTCTGCTGTTCTAGGAGCCAGGTTTTCCTGTGTTCCCACAGAAGGTTTCTCCTCCTGGGTCAGAAGGCATTTCTTACTTTCCACAGGCTTCATGTTGCTGCTCTGGAAGCAGGAGAAAACAAGACCCTTTGGGAGGAAAATCCAGATGTTATTCAGAGATGAACATGGGCAGCAGCCCTGACCATGCTTCTTCCCCATCCAAAGACCCTCTCTCACTCCAGTCCAAGGCAGCTGCCCCCTGCACGTACCTGAAATCACTTCATATTTGATACTTACAAAGCACCTGAAAGCATCTCATTTTACAGAATCACATAATCAATTAGGTTGGAAAAGACCTCTCAGATCATCAAGTCCAACCTATGATCAAACAACAAACTGTCAACTAGTCCATGGCACCAAGTGCCACATACAGTCTTTCCTCACACACCAAGTTATTAGGCTGTTATATATATTAAGCATTGCTATAAAATAAACAAGTTCCTTTTTCAAGAAATTCATACTTCTCTGAAACTGGAAACATCCCCCCCATAGAGAAAGACAGATGGCCAAGACGGGAAAGTGGGACATAGCAGGCTTGGGCTACCTGAAGTGCTTGAAGCCCAGCTGAGGCAGAACTGAGGCTTTGATGAAAATCTTGAGTTCTGTTTCCCAAACTGGTGAATACCAGAGTCACTGGAAAGTACTGAGCAAATGAAAAAAAAACCCCAAACCTTTAGGTATTGCATGCATGTGATAACACATTAACCACCTGCAGCTCGTAGCATGAAAGGGTCTTTATTTTATTACAGTACAGATTCAGTCCAGTTCACAGAGAACACATCAGTCAATACATATCTTCACTTTGTAGGAGAAATGGGCATGAACACGTGAGCACTCAGTCACCAGCCTTGTATCACCACTTTATGCACGTTTTGCCTCAAAAGCATCATTTATGGCACACAGGTTTCACCAGAATTCCATGTAATAGCACTGCAACATCAGCTCTAGAGACACAGGAGAGGAGGATGTAAACCTCAAGGACTGTGAAACTATGGATATATATGCACTGCTTGGGGATTTAACTTTCAAAATCCTGGTTTCGACTTGAAAGTTTGTTTTAAAATAACATGTCCCTGAATAATATATGTTTTTCCTTGAGGCACATGTTCAAGTTCAGGCTATGGATAACAGTCTTCACTTCAAGCAGCCACTGAGAGCTGAGGATTTGGAGCAGACAGCTGTCTGGAAACCAGGTTTCCACGAGCTGCAGTAGCAGCTAACAGGTAGAAGGGCACCTGAATTTCAGCAGAACAAAGCAGTCTCCCATGTTTAACCATTTTATTGGATCCTGAAATAGGAATGAAGGCAACCATGTCAGCTAAATCAGTTCCTGTCAACCTACCAAACTTACCTTCCTTGAGGCTTTGGGCTTTTTGAAGCACTACATAGGACTTAAGACTCCAAAAGCTCATCTATTTCCCACATCCAGGCTTACAACAGGGGGTTCAGCAAAAGACACTGTTGCTCTTCACAAACCCGTTGTTGCTTACATCACATTTCTTTGACATGTCCAGCACCAACTCTCCCCATCATGGTCAGAGGTACTATCTTTAAGCAAAATAAAGCTGATAAATACTGTGTGCAGTTATCCCCTATGTGGAAATAAAAAAAGTCAAAAAATCCCAAATCATCTTTTGAGAGGGGGGATTAAAGCATGACTTCTTTTAAACCATATTGGTTTATCGCCCTGTAAGGGTGATAAAACTCCAATATCCCCCACAACGAAACTTGAAATCAGCAGGAACATGGAAAATACTCAAGAAGGAAGATGAGAGGCCAGGAAAAGGACTATGAATGATACTTTCAGTCTGAAGCATGTTTCAAGTAGCTTCGATTTTCAAAGCCATTTTAAAAGTTTTGTGCACGGAACTTGCTCCTGCATACTCCACTATCTTTCTGACCTTTCCACCTAAAGACTTTTTTCTTCTCTCAAAGAGCAACAGAAAATAAGAAAGTGGATCACAGGAGAAAGAGACAATGAAAGCAGTGAGTTAGCATATAATACCAAGTACAGAAAGTAAGCTGCTGTAAGCTGTCCAAGATAAGAGCAACATTGCAATTTTCATTTTACCTCCACTTAAAGCAATCATGGTTTGAAATGTTTAAAAAACAACATCCCCAGTTCATGCCCAAACTCCTCAAAGTTTTAAACACAGCATCTTACAAGTGAGAGAACACTGTCTGTCTTTTTATTTGTAAACCAGAATTTGAAATATCTTACAATATATTTTAATTTCATTTTTCTAAAGAAACAGCATTAAGAACTGAAAGAACAGTGTGCCATTAAGTGTTAAGGACCTGTTGTAAAAACCTTTATTAAAAAAGGTTATATAGGTATGATGAATATAAGTTGTGTTTTAGTGTCAACTACTTAAGCATCTAAATGATTGAAAATGAAGTGCAAATCTGGAAGTCCAGTCACAGATGAGGCTGTAGAGTTGTGCTCAAGACAGAAGAGATCTACCCATGGCAGGCAGAGCTGCACACTCACAAATTAACTCAAGTCTGCCCCAGCCATGAATCCTGCAGATCCGAGCGACACCACTGATTAAGTCAGTCTGAACTACTTAATGTAAATTCTCCCTTTCTAATAAGAAGGATATTAACTACAGCTTTCAGTTAGGCAATAAAACCTTTCTAATCAGCAACAAAAAATAAAAGTGACATGCTTACTCTGTTTCAGGCACTTTCAAGATCATAGTTTATTTACTGTAGGTAAAAAGCTAGTATACAGATTAAGGGATCCCTTAAATTTCAACTCTATAGTTATACACCATCTAGTATTCTTGCTCTGAATATTAACCAAAAATTTTTCTAAACACCTGTAAGCCCCACTATAAATCTGCACTGTTATGAGAAAAAAAAAAATATAAATCAATGCCTAACTTTTTCAATGCATAATATTTACACTGTGAAATCAATGGGAAATAACAAGCAGTAGCAAAGAGGCAGCAGATTTTAAAAAGCCAAAGTTTTATATAGGTTTTGGTTTTCTTTTACAGTAGTGTGCTAATCAGCATAATTGTATATATAAAAATTAAAATATAGCAGAGCGTCCCATTACAGAAATCTGAATTGTCTGAACTGCAGTCATTACTTGCTAACCATTTACATGCAACACCTGCTAGGACTGACTTTTTGTCTTTAAAGTGTAAAATAGTTTGAGGCTTAAGAGACAAACATTAATTTGTGTACAAATCTAAAACTGCACTTAAGAATGGTACTGGTCACGAGCCTCTTCCATAGAGAGGGGGAAGGAAAGAAAAAAGTACAAACAACAATAGAAAGAGGTCTCTTTCCCTTCACTAATTTTCAAAGGCAATGCATAGACTGAGAATACCTGGATGGCAAACTCTGGAGACTCTGGAAACAAACAGCTTTCACATACAAGACCTTTGCAGGAGGCCTTTCTTTGCATGAAATGGCAATGGCTGACAGCAAATAAGGGGCACCAGGTGTACAGGTAAGTAGGTCTTGCAAAATACTAAGATGGGGCAGTTGTTAATATACAATTTGAACTATATATACAATATAATGGAATGTATCCCCTCACAAAACTGGTTAATGAAACAATTGGACCTTTCTATACTAGCCTTATGACTCAGCTACTGTTCTAATGAAAATATAAGTACACAAGAGACTTGCATGGAAAGTAAAATGTATGGGGCATTTTACAGGAACTATTGACAAAGCTGCTTAATGGCATTTCTGCTTTTAAAGTAATTTTGTTAGATATAATTGAAAACATCTGTATATAAAATGTCCTGACAGACACTTCAACATGGAGCTTTGGTGACTTAAACCATCTCAATAACAAGGTGAAAAATTAAACAGAGTATTTAAGAAAATTCAAACTGAATAGGAAATGGAATGCCAATATGGCAGTTAACCCTTTTTCTGTTGTTTTCAAACAGGAAAGTCTCTTGTACCAGCAGAATCCTGTATACAGATAGACAGAGAAGTAGGGAATACACCAACTTATAGTTCCCATTAAACAAAAGTCAATTTATCATGTGAGAAGGTACAAATGACAGAAAACATGAATAGTCAATAGAAGAGAAACAACTGGTTTACATGAAAGAAGAGAGAACACTTCAGTCTGAACGCAGTTACTTTGTGAAAGCTGCTACAACAGCCCAGAGAACCTCATTCGTGTTGGTTTTCATACATTCAACCTCAGGGTCTAAATCCAGAAGCTGCCGCACTCTCTTTGTGGCTAAATCATACTGCTCATCCAGGAGGGGGGCAAAAGCGTTCTCCAGGACATCCGAGGCGTGGGCTAAGTACACCAGTGCCAGCAGGCGCTTGTCCATGCGGTGGGGGTCGTTCACCCATTTGTCAAGAACTGCTTCTTGAACCTTCTTGATGAGGCGCTGTTTGATGTTGTTGTTGGTGAGAGGGTGGGTAGTCATGTCAAAAAGAAGGAAGTTCTGTTTCTCTGTTGTCAGTACACCTTTTTCCACTAGATTTTTGGCTAACCGTTCACGAACATTTCGTAGCTGGTAGTGCAACTTCAGTGGGTTCCATGTTTCACCTAAAAAGGCAAAAAACCCACAACAGTCAGACAAGGTTTGTACTATTGCAGTGATTTTTTTTCCCCACTCTGTGGTGCAGGAGGAGCTGTCAAATTCATACAAGCTGAGTATTACACTACATCGCTGTGCTCCTGTCAGCATTTCTCTGAGCCCTGACCTACCCAGAAAAAGGCACAGAGACAGAAACCAGGAGGGCCTCCTTGGAGGAACTCTGGGGTACATTTAAAGTTTGGATGAAACGCTGGCTAAGCCATGTCTTGATTAAAGATATGAGAAAGCAGTCTCATAAAACAAAACCCAAACCTGTCACAAAGAAAGCGCTTACTTTTAATAATAAAAATAAAACCAAGCATCCCCCTACAGTCTTGTGCATTTGTCTGTATCCAGCCTTTTACCATTTCAGAGACTGGAAGAAGTGTCATTGCCTTTCTTTTGCCACACAGGTAGGATCATGCACACCCACCCTGTGCATTTCTTTATTTCTTCAGGTTTCCACTCTTCTCCCCCTTCCTACCTCTACCAGATGAAACAGTGAACATGCACTGTGTGAGTATGTGTGCAGTGGGTGTGTGCACTATGCATTTTAGGAGGTAAGAAAGAGCATTAAGTATTTCTTACACAGACGGAGGTTTTCTACAAATGATATGAGAATTTCTACACCAAGCTTTTAAAAAATTTATTGGTTAACATACAGTAACAATTACAACAACAACAGTAAGCATAAACCACAGATGACTTCAAGGTGATGGAGGGTGACATACACTGTATTCAAGTAACAGCCAAGTTAAATAAACACATGAGGTGATTCCAACTGCAGAGTGATAGGCAGAGAACCCACCCAGGCCCAGACTACACAAGTCCCTATATATCCCACATGTCACTGAATGTGATTCCTTAGCTGGATCATCCAAACACAAAAAAGTAGTTTCCTTACTACCTTCCACATGGCAAAGACTATTTCCTAGATTTTCTACATTTGTCATGTGGACTACAGTCAGTGCTGTGGTGACACCTTGTGACCAAGCTCCTCAATTACACAGACACTTGTCCCGACACAGACAGATGTTTACTACATCTAGAGGAAATGTGACATTCTGATCCCAGCTTCTGTATTCCCTACACTTGCTTCCCTTAGAGGCTATCTTATAAACATGGGCCTGGCAAACTTCACCTTACACGTCCATATAAATACTTCCGTGATGGCTTTGAACTCATTTGCACCGTAACTTCAAGCAGCACTCTCCACATTGCTGATAATCACAGATAAAGTAGCTATTTTCCAGGACGGACCTGGGCCGTAAAGCAAAAATCTAAGAGAGTTTATAAATTTATTAAATAAAAGAAAACAAAACCAAATAAATGAACGAACAAAAAACCCCCAAAACAAACTAACAAGCAAAAAAACCCCACACTGAAATATTTTTCTTCAAAGGACAGTCCTCTAAACCACAGGAAATGCAAAGAACACTAATGCCATTCAAGAATTAGTAATTAATAACCATATATAAGTAAAAATGATTGATTCAAGCCTTAGCCACAGCACTGATGATAACTGTCTTCCCAGAGCCAAAGCTCAGAGGGGTCAGAAAAACCTTAGCTTAGCTCAAAGAAAGCCTACAACGCTGTTCATTAATTAGCTGACCTTTTTTGAATTAGTACTAACTTGATGTGCTCTGCACTGGGAAAGAGGGTGAAATGTCAGCACAAATTACATATTTTGGACAAGAAAAATGAATTGGTTTTGCAGGCTGTAAAAGTGAAGGGGAGCTGAGTGAGAACTGAACTGCAAGGCTCTGCAGCAGCCATGCCCGCTCCTGACAAGGGCTGCTTTGTAGTCCTGTCTCCCCACTGCCTGACAGCCAAGGAGCAGGAGAGGATGGATGGCAAGGACCTGAGAATGAACTGGTGCTCAAGGAAAGCTGTTCAAGGTGGTGCAGGACAAACGGAAAGAACAAAGAAAACAAGAAAGCAGAGCAAGGTGGAAAGATTTTGCTCATCTTTGCAGCTCTTACTTACTGCTTGTAAGAAGTGACAGATTTAAATGGGCAAATTCCCAAATCTCATTACCCCAGACCTCCCAGTTCCATCGCTGACAAAAGATGTTTGTTTTCCTGTTTGCACAACTGAAGCACAGCTCTTATCTACTCCAAGGAAGCTGCATTTCACATGTTTTGTGAAAGTAGATGAACACTGGTGATCAATTCTGTCTACAGTTCAGCCTGGAGAAGAGAAGGCTCTAAGGAAACCTTACTGCAGGCCTTTCAGTGCTTAAAGGGGGCCTACAGACACTTAAGCATGGCCTGGGACATGAGATAATGGTTTTAAAGTGAAGGAGGTCACTGAGATTGGATACAAGGAAGAAGTTTTTTACAACGAGAGCACTAAACACTAGAACGGATTGTCCAGAGAGGTGGTGGATGCCCCATCCCTGGAAACATCCAAGGTCAGGCTCGATGGGGCTCTGAGTGTCCCGGCCTAGTGGAAGGTGTCCAAGCTAATTACAGGGAGGTTGGACTAAATGGCCTGTAAAGGTCCCTTCCAACCCAAACCTGAATTATTCTATGATAATTGGCATTTCATTTTTTGTGCAACAACTTACCAGCTTTACAGGAAGAGCTTTGTGCAAAGTACTCACCTTGAAGACTTTGTTTTGATCATCAAGAAGTGCCTAACATTTTAAAATATTTATTAAATTTCTTCAGTTAATGAAAAAACAGAACTCCTGACTACTGTTTCTTTATGACTAATGGCCAAATCACCCTCAGTTTTTATGTCTGAGCTATGAGCTCCTTATCTCCCTTCTTTATCCAAAGATCCGAATACTGAATCCACACACTTAGGCTCCAAACTTCCACTAACCCTCACTTCCAAATACAGAGAAAGGCAGTTACATCTCCAGGGTGCAGTCCTGATTTACTTTAGTCAGTGGAAGGTACCTCTTCCACAGTTGAGATGTCCTCTGACACTTCCATACAGATCCTTTCTGTACCAAGTTAAGTCAAAAGCAACAGTTACTTATATTTGATTAAAGGTTACAATCAACAAGAGACTACCCTAGAGGACAGACTAATTAACTTTTTTGCATACTTTCTCTTGAAAAACCTTACAATATAATCTCTAGTGATGCCAGATAATTAGCTTTATTGGGATAAAAAAAGCAAATACGTTATGTCCAAGGCTTACCACTAAGCAGTTCAATCCAATTTTGTACTGTTTCAGGAGGTTGGGTCTCTTTTATGTGTTTCAGAGCTTCATCAAGCAGAACATCCCCTGTAGGAGCATCTGACTTGCAAATCACCTAGGATAGAATAAAATGCAGTCAGTATTTTGACTTAATTCATATATGACAAAAGCACTCATCGATTAAAAAAAAAATCTGTTACGAAAAGCAAGGACATTTTTAAAAAATAAGGAGCTATCTCTTAAGAATATACAACTTAAAAAAACCCCAAACCCTAGTTGTTAAAAAAAATAAGGCTCTAATTCAAAGATATATTAAGTGTGACATTATCTGTAACTTAAATTAACCGTAATGGACTAAAACTATAATATTAATAACACACTTAAAACCTAATTTTTTTAAGGAAAATAAACCACTTACCCAGGCAGGTCATTTGCTAGCTCCTCAAAACAAAGTACACTACACACTCTTAAATTAGTCTCTGATGGCAGTCTATTTTACTGCTTCAAGTCAAGTTATTCAAAATACTTCAGCTAAACAATGAGGTCTTGTGGAAATAAAAAAATTACAAACTGGAAAAGCACAAAAATTATTTTTCTGCTTCCGGATATTAATGGATAAAAATAGGTTCAAGGCAACATCTGCAAGTTTTACAACTCTGAAGAACATACTGCCCCATAACACTGTTCCACTCATTAACAGTAAAACTATTTGTATTAGGGGAAATACATATGTACTAATAAACCTCTTAATATGCAACAATAAATGTTATTTCATAACTTCTAAAATTATTTGGGAGTTCCCTCAAGAAAGCACAAGAGAACAACCAAAAAATTTATTCAGAATAATACAATAAAATTTAAGAATTTGAGTAACTGCTTGTTTATCAGTATACGTCGTATTATAAACCAGCCAAAATAAAATTTCTTTTCTCGTGGGAAAATTAAGAGCACTAAATGAAAACTTACAGATTAAGCTAGCCCAGGTCAACATGTTTAAATCAAATCTATCTTTCGTTATTAACAGAAGAATTACTACCATTTCAAAGCACTTACTAAAATAATTATAATCTGGCAACTGAAGTAGTTTTACAAGTTAGCACTTCATAAGCATCAGGTAAAAGATAACAGGTCACTGACAGAAAAACTAATACATCAACAATCCTTACTACAAACAATAGAGGAATGCAATGCATTTTCTTAGGGTCTGTTGATGACATCGAAATGAGTAGCAATGGTAAGACAACTTCAAGCCCAGCAAGACGATCCCCAGTTGATGTACAAAAGTGTACAAAGTGAACAGGATGAAAATAAAATTGATGAAGAGATGTTTGTGACTACCTAACAGGTCATAGTTGGAATGCTATTTCCAATTTAGGCGGTCTATATAAAGCAAGAAACTAAGATTTTCAATAAAAATCAGCAAGAATGAACGAGTCCACAATGCCAAGCTAAAATGAATGAAGTTTATTTAGATCTAAAGAGAGAGTTACTTTTACAAAGAGAGAAACAAACAGAAGTTTAGGGAGCCTACTTTGGCAAATAGAAAAGATACCAGATTAGTCTGGAAATACAGAAGATGCAGGACATACTCTCAAAAACTTCATCAGGCAATTAAAACAACCTGGTTGTTGAACTGCATTCAGCAACGGAGAATTTTAAGGCTAAACATCTGCCAAGGAGGGACCAGAGAAACCTCACTTTCTGTTACTGCATCCAGATTAGATGGACTCATGAGATACTGTTCAGGTCTCCATTTTGGGGAGCTGGAGATCACTCCAACACCGACTTCAGATATTCTGTTTTAAGAACACATCAGCATTTAAATCCACACAACCCCTATTTGAAACTAAGCACACAACAACACATATTTATCTTTCTGATTTACAAGCATGCACAGCACCACTCGAAACCTTTATTAACCACATATAATTATATTACACATCTTCAGTTTTGTACCAAGATTTCAAACTTTTGGAAGTGCCTGTTCTTTCTTCAGGAGCACGCTTCAAGCTAGGATTTTAAGCTGCAAGACTGTAGATATTAACAGGCACTTTTCAGATATTCCTTTAATAATTAGCCTAAAACCAGCCAATTTAGCCATCTTTACTTCTTTTCAAAGCTGATGTTCCAGCAGTATTTTAGTTTCTTTGAAGTGTCTCATATGATTAGTTTCACGGTAACCTCTGTTACACTGGATCTCTCCATCCTTCTGCAGTTGGTACCTGGTACTCACCATCTCATTTTAACAGGTAAAATGTGAAGTCATCTTTTTAACCTGATTTATTCTTAAAAACAAACCAACCAACCTCACTGAAAAGATTAAAAATGTTTTGTTTTGGTTTTTTAAAAAATAAATAAATAAATAAAGTAAAATAAAGTCTAGGACATAAGAAAAAGATATTTTTTTTTTAAAGTTTAGAAAACAGCTTCCCTTGCTTATTGGGAGTTAAAATACTTTTTTCTACCACTGCAAAGAAATTTAAGAAGCCAGCATGAATATAATGCACCATGACAATAGGAGCCTAAATATACAGGAATTTATAGGAAAGAGCTGTAAGGAGTACAGGGGCCTCGATTCGATTCAGGACTGACTCCATTAGCTCTTCTGAAGCCACACCACACAGCTATTTTGTTTCCAAGTTTACCAAGTTCTCTGCAGCCAAACACTGTTTCTCCTCACTCCTCTGCTACACTGAATATCCACACTTCTGATTATCCTTCCCCTCATATAAAAGTATTTCAGTTCACCTCCATAATATTTCTGTTCCCTCTCCTTTCCAGCACATGGAGACAGGCAACAGCAGCTGCAGCCCAGACACCTGTTTGTCTTCACTGATCTGCTCTTTCTTGAAGGATTTAGTGATGAATCCCTCCTGACTAACTCTCTTCAGAGCGGGAAATAAAGTGGGTCTGGGGGGTCTCATGAACTGAACCACCACAGAAGATTAAGCATCCACAAGGGGGGCTAAAGTAGAGAAAGAAGCAAAGATCCTTGTTCTTCAGAGATGATGCAGCCTGACTTCAAAAAAAATCTCTTTATTCATATTTTTCAGTGATTTATCAGGTACTAGATTTCCCTGGTATTCATCTACTGAGAAAATTTCGATTATACAGAATATTTAATTTGTGTTTTTCACAATGCAGTTTGGCAATTCAGCAAAGCTAAAGATTAAGCCCTTTTTGTGTTGATTTTTAAGTTAACTTCATTGTTTAGTTTTAATACAAAAATTCACTCACACGTGAATTGCTCATAATTGTTAGCAATAAAATACTTAGGTAAATTTGCCAAGGATTGGGATTCCTTTTGCTTTTAATAACTGTTGATTTGGTTTGCTTTCTGAAGCTGTGAGGCAATGTAGAGTACCATTTTCCATTTTTCATTTGCAAACCTCAACATTCAATTATTTGTTTCTAAAACTGATCCCAGTAGATAGAACCCCAAAATGATGTAGTGTCTACATACTCCTAAACCAAATTTATAAGGATGTTGCAATGTATAAGATATCTTATCCACTTTCAAAGTTTCACTAATGCCCACCAGGTCCTTACGGACTCTTTTCTCAGTCTTATTTGTCTCTCTATGGCATTCCATCACGGGTTTAACGCATCTCAATCCACTCTGAAGTTCTGTCTTAAACACTGCAAAATATAATGAGCAAAGATCAACTTGCTGTAAGGCCTGAAGTGGAAATCATTACCATTCTTGTAAGTTAATTGTATGATCAAGGCCACAGCTGGCTGGTTATAAATCCACACTACTGTCCAAAGAACTGGTTCTACCCTCTTTTTGCCTGCACCTCATCTCCCATGCCAGCAGTGTCACCTGTGCCTGATGACAAGGTCAAGAGAGTACTTCAAGTAAAAACTAAACTGATCAAAGTAAACTTGTTTTCAGCCAGAGGTGTTACCTGGCAAGGCTGTGCAGAATAATAACAACTTGAGAGAGACTCCAATAAGTCTCTTCACACGGACAGGGCTACCCTTCCCAGCTGCAGCATGGGCTGAAGTGACCCAAGCCTAAAATCCTGCCTTCAGACCATGGCTTGAAGATGCAGGGTTTTGATTCACAAATCAAAGCTTTGAGTTTTAAGGTTTCATCTTCCCACTAAATCAAAAGACAGACCTGGGGCAAGGAGAAAGAGGGATCTCCTGAGAGGCAGAAGCTACAGAAAACAGTACTGCCAGGGAATCACAACCTCAGATATATTATCAGACAGCTCATTCCACTTACTAAGCACAGTATTTAATTCACAGCCAAAGCCAAGGGCAAGTGGAGCAAAGCCTGCAGAAGCAGGACAAGGAGGACAGAGTTGAGGCACTTAAGTCCAGCCAACAGAGAAACAAGACTGAAATTTGGTGTTAATGGAAAACTTCAAATAAAGTACAAAACAACACAAGTCATTCACAAGAATTATTTCTAAATTGAGGGCGGTGGTGCAATTAGGGATTCTATTTGCAGGAAAATACTGGAGCAGTCTTCATTTACATTTTTAATTAACAACTTTTTTACAGAATCCTTCTGCCTGCAAAAAAAAAAAAAAAGATATCTCTAATGCCTTACAACAGCAGAAAGAAGAAAACCTCCAATATTAGGTAGCTTTGAGATCGCTTTAAACAAACACATCTACCCAACCACAAAACCACATGATAAAATTTTAATAAAAAACACCCAACCACAAACAAAACCCAAACACAACCTGGACCATCACAAAAGGAGCAAATAATTTTGCCTGTATTCTTTAGTGAATATACACACAGGTTATTTTTCCATTTTCCTAAAAATCCCAACAACTCCACAGTTAATATTTCAAGTAGGCAGAACTGACAAGGTTTGCACAGACCAAAAATAACTCCTAAAGAACATTACTGAATGCCTAAGAAGCCAAAAGCTCTGGAGGAAAAAAAACATGCAAACTAATCAATGCTGAATATGCTTAAATGGGGCTAAAAGAAGAAGGTGCTGTTTGTCTGAACAGAGCTTCAATTTTTCTGAAGTGGAGGAAGCTGGGAGAAGGTTGGGGAATGCATAAGCTTTCCTTTAAATTTAGCAAAAGATAATATTGACCGGGACATGTGCCATAAGAGAATTTATTTGTCGTGGACAGGCAACATTTGACCACGTTTTCAATAAACTTATTTTACAAGTATCCTCTAATGCTGATGAAGTAAAAATTCTTCAAAGACTGTCAGTTTGCACATTCTGTACAAAGGAAAAAACCCAGTGGTAAAAGTAATATATAAAGGCCTCAAATATTCAGCCCAATTAAATAAAGGACCTTAGAAATGTGGCCATTTTAACAGTCAGGGAGCACAACCAATTTAACACACCAGTCACATGTTTAAACTGCGTATATTTTTGTGTTCTCAGGGGCCCCAGGTACAAGGATGGCTTCCTTCCCATGCATTGCAGGCATAAACTGCAGCATTGTGTAGACCAGAACTGCTGGCTTGCAGGACACATCTGGCAGGCTGTCAGTTATCCCTTCCTTTTAGCATCAGCCCACATCCCACCGGCATTGCGAAACCCAGTTCTACAGCAGTTCACAGCTGGTGCTTCTGGCTCCCCACAGTAACTGCTGCCACCTCACCCCGGCCAGAGCCACTGCCAACAGGAATCTCTTGGTGCAAGATTCCCAACACTACTAGGAACAAACAGGAGCACAGAACAAGTGAGAACAATGAGCTTAAATCAGAGATTTTCCGAGGCACTTTATCTCACTGCTGAAACATTTTCCAACTTTGGACATCCAACTTATGTCACTACTCAGAATCATTATTCTCGTGTAAAGTAAAAAAAAATAAAATCTTTTTCTTAGAACCAGCTGCAATTTAGAGCTCCTGTATTGCCTGAAGCGTGACACAAGTAAATGTGATCATTTTCCTCCACTTACCTTTCTTGTTAACAGACTTTTACGCCTCATTCCACAAGCCTCCAGCTGAAGACGCCCCCGCAATGCCAATTCGATTAACATGCAGCCACGCAATCCTGAGGAGATGCAATCATTCCAGAAAGATGTGTAACCCTGTGAAGAATGAAACGCAGTAAGATATCTCCATCTCCACCTGAAAGCAAACAGCAGAAGGGGCTCACTGAGTTCTCTAAGCAGTTCTCCTGTCTTCATATACTTTTGAAGTGGCATCACTAGTCACCAGTTCCTGCCCTGAAAACATGAAGGAGGAACAGACTCACTCCCTATTAGTTTTGACACTCAAGTCTCTGCTGTTTGAAGAACAGGAAAACATCAGGAAAATGATACAGAACAAAAGAGGGTGATACCAAGAACTATGAGGTATGAAGTGTAGTTTATACATGCTCAAAATGAACTTACTGCATTTTTAAGACATCGAGTATTTGGCTTTACTGGCATCACAGACTCACCTGAGTTTAATGAGAAACATTAACATGATTTTAAACGCATAAAGACCACGGCAGCGATAAAGCAACAATAACCTGAAAATGGATATTAAGTAAACTACAGAGTATACTGGAAACAGAAATGTAGCAATGAGCACAAATCACAGAACTGATTTTTTTTTTTAGCTTGTAAAGACAAAAGTTTTTAAAGAAATAATTGGAATAGCTACTCCATCATTTAAATCCTTCGAAAACATGTAATTTTAAAGCTTGAAGCATATAGTTCTTATACAAACTGCAAAACACATTTATTCTATGAAGCACGTCACACCTACCATGCTTTTTTATCTCTATTTCTGCACTGATAGCTGTCTGCTTAAATGGCAGAAGAGAGGATTTAATCCACTACATTTACTAATCAGTATCTAGGAAAATACATGCATTGACTTTTGTACTCCATTGCTCAACACTTATGACCCCAAAAATCTTTTTAAAAGAATTCTATTTTATCTATAGATTAGCCAACAGTGTTCTTGCACATTTTTTAATACTTGAGTATCTAAGACAAAACAAAATCATTGAGACATGTTTTGTCTTTTGAGAAATGTCTGCAGAAACACTTGTTATGATCCATAAAGCGCTTTCAAAACTCCTCTAGTGATGCACTTCTGAAAATATTCTGAAATATCTGAGATACTTCAGAGAAAGGTGCTGTAAACAAGAGAAGGGGTAGGGGGATGGGGGGGAAGAGAGCTCTCCCTTTCATAAAATTTATCCTAACCAATAAGAAAAATGAGCTTAAATCAGGAGCAATTCAACTTTATTCTATTTGCAGATAAAAGCTGCCAACACAGAGATACAAGACACACACATCCTAAGTGCACTCAACTTACAAACCAGTCCCTAACTAATGCCGTCAAGTACACGTTTCCAGGAATGTGGTAATACTTGCTTCCACTTCCCACTTACCTATTTTCAAGAGTTGTATTATATAGATGACCAATACTTCTGAAAAGTCTACAAAAGCCCTCAATCTCTAAAGTAATTGCTGAAATATGCCACAGATATTTATTTAAAATGTCATAAATATAAGGTTGGAGAGGCATTTGAGAAGTTATCTAATCAGCCTTCCACTCGAGTGTTGACACTTGGCAAGTATCAGCTACTCCTGCACTGCCATACTGTAATTAAGATTCTGGTTGGCACCAGACGTTTCTTCGCCAAATAACATACATGATAAAGTGCAGTATTTGCTTGAGGGGGAAGAGATATGACTCCCACATTCTATTTCCAATCAGATTCTTTACATAATAATTTGCGAAATCAGACAACACATACGCAAACTAAAAATCTACTGCACAAACTCACAGGCACAATAAATTTATACTTCTTTCTATTCACAGGAAGGATTATACTATTATGCAAACAAACGAAGTACTGATGTTTCTTCCTCTTTGTTTAGTCATGAAAACTGATTTTTTAAATTACTAGTTTTCAATGAAGTGACATTAACTACACCACTCCCTGCAGTAATTACCAGATGTAAATTCCTCTACCCCAGTGGTTAATCAACACAGATGGCCATAGGCTGTGGGTTGTTGAGAAATACAGGATTATAAAATAATTCAGGTTCAAAGTGACCACAGGAGATCTCTAGTCCATCCTGCTGCACTCAGGTCAAGTTGCTCAGGGTTCTATTCAAGCAAGACTTGGAAACCTCCAAGAATGGAGACTGCACAACCACTCAACAGTTTCTAATCAAGTGATCCTGAAAAACAGCTCAAGGAGATTATATTCTTCATAAATGTAACCACTTGCTCTGGTGGGTTAGATGACATTAAAGTCATGAGAATACATATTGTGTCACCATCTTCTTTTTTTCCCTTTTTTTTTCTTGCTAAAATGAGTTTGCAGGTGATCCTCTAGAGAAGGAACATCTTATTTCCATATACAGAGATTGCACTGCTACTAACAGAGTTAGGAAGGAGATATTTTATAACAGTCTGTGTAATCCTGAGCATTCTTTAATCAATTAAACTTATCTTTCCAGATTGTTCAGGTAGATGAACTGATTGTTTTTGACACCTACTGCAAAGATACCAGATAATCAAAGGAATCTTCACAGAACATCAGTTTTGGACACAACAGTCTAACTCATCCTTTAACTCATACTTCTTGAATTACATGGAACTGAATAGGAGACACTTATCTTCAACACTGCAAACACCCTCTTGACACCTACTTTAAATGGCATACAGCATAACTACAAAAAGGTGCACAAAAGAGAAACAAAGAGGTGGATGATAATAATAATAACATTAAATGGAGGGTCAGAATGGCAGTATAGAATAATGCACTTTATTATTTGTAAAGCAAACAAGGTCTAAAAGGTAGTAAATGAAGTCAGCTCACAGGTTAGAAAAGTCAGTGGCCAATTTCTTTTCTCTGTTTCTATTCAACTGTTTTTACAGGGAGCTAAAAGTTTTTTTAAAATCCTTTAAAAACTGAGATTGATAATAAAGTTTGACAGCAATGGATCTGATCTGCAAACCACACATGGATCAGGAAGCTCCCACTCAGCTGAAGTAGGTGTACACTGGAGGAATTGTCATTCCCTGAACACCACCCGGCCATTGCTCATTACAGCTTATGGAATAAGACAGGGATGTGATTTTTAACACTGTTCTGTTATTCCAAACACCTAACAGTCTCAAAACACTTGACCACTATTCATAAATGCAACTCATTCCACTATTTAATGCTTTTAAACGGCAGTAGTTTTCTCACAAATATAACACTGAATATTTTTACTTTATCCATCTTCTTTCAAGTTATATAGTTTTATAAACTTCCTAACTCAAAGAAATACTTATTTCATTAAAGTTGCTAAGCAGCAGGGGGAAAGTCTTACAAAGCAGGAAATTATTTTTATCTGACAGCAATCACACCAGAATAGCACTTTAAGCTATGAATAGCTTGCAAGACAAAATTTTAAATCTACAATGACTCAAAGATCAAAAGAATGTTTACAACTGTCATGTTTATTTACACAAACACAGCATTTTTCATCAGATCTGACCTAGAAACTTTCAGATAAAAACTAGTTTTGCTAGACAAGCATAAAAGGAAATAAGAATAAAGTTTACATCAAAACCTTTCTACCATATTAACTTTGAAAGTTCAGACTTTCCACACAGGCATGGCAAAGCACAGAGCTAAAGATTAAGATCCTCCTTCTGTTTTAAGAACAAGTTATTAAAAATCCATGCTCACTAGGCCATTTCCTTCCCACCACCTCCTGTGGCATTTATTCACTGCCTCCTATTCCCATTCCTTTTACCCAACTTCCAGCTCACACAGGTCTTCCTGTTCAGTTATCCATTAACCACTTGAAACTCTCACATATTAAAATAGTCGGTTGCCTAATGAAGGCTCTGTGCCTTGGAATTACCCAAACTACCTTCCCTTCCACTTCCTGCTTTTACCTTGCCTCTTTAAATCCATAAGTTACTCGAGAGATTTTGTAATTCAAAGATTATTTTTAAATTATTTTTTTTCCCTTAAAAAAGGGCTAATTCTTTATCTCTGACCCAGTAAGGCACTGCAGCAATAACCACTATAATTTAATAAGTATGTAAAAAATCAGAATGACAAGACTAACGTGACCAGATGTGCCTGAAGGTATTCGGTGCCAAGCATGTTATTGATTTTTATACGATCAAGGCTACTTTAAGACTTGCAAGAAACTTCAAAAATCGTTTCACATAAGCACAGAACAGCCAACCTTCACAGAGCCATCACTCTCACATTGCTCTACTCAGCATCCAGGCCACTGTTACACTAGCTATATTTGAAACAAACAAAGAAAAACAACAACAACAAAAAACCCCACCAAACCCACAGAAACATCACTATTTTCTGTTTCCCAATTAAAAGCCACCCAGCAGTAACAGTGCAAAAAATGCAACTAAATTGCAGATGCCATTTTACATTTATATTGACTATATTTATAAGAGAATATAATCTTGTAATATAATCATGAGAGAATATAATCATGTAATCTTGTATTACAGAGTGAAGTTAATAAAAAAAAAAAAAGAAAACTTTCTTAATAAAATAGAGTACAAAAGGCCAGGTAATCTTTTCATCATCATGGCTAGGCTTTGCGAACAAAGATTTAGGAATCTTTGTTGGTTTAGGAATCTTAGGTAATCTTTTAGTTTCATTGTTTTATGCATCAGTTACTAAAAATCTTCCCAGAGAGAAGAGATACAAATCCTCTCTCCGCTTCTTCAGTTAACTCAGAATAGGTGAGCTGCAATTCCACTATACCTGGTACAGATCAGGCAAGAGGAGGGAAGAGTGAAAAACCCATGAAAATCTCTCAGATTCAAGAGAAAGGAAAAGAAAAATGCTTGCAGAATACAACCGTGAGGCTTCAAAATACACACATGATAACTTAAATAAATATGAGGTGTTTAACTTACTTGGTTAAGGCCACCTGTTTACAGAACACTGACTGTAGCCAATGCATTCTAATTCAATGAGTCTCCTGCTATTACAGATTACTTTGCAGACCACAGAGCCATTGCAAATGGAAATCAGCTTTGTTAGTCTCCCAAAAAAGCATCAAAAGTCACATAATAGTCTGTGAAGATAACTTGTGGG